GCCTTTGACTATCCCACAAAGTGTCACATTGCCTGGAGAAATGTTCTCTCCCTAGCCTTTGACTATTCCGCAAAGTGTCACATTGCCTGGAGAAATGTTCTCTCACTAGCCTTTGACTATTCCGCAAAGTGTCACATTGCCTGGAGAAATGTTCTCTCCCTAGTCTTTGACTATTCCGCAAAGTGTCGCATTGCCTGGAGAAATGTTCTCTCCCTAGCCTTTGACTATTCCGCAAAGTGTCGCATTGCCTGGAGAGATTTTCTCTTCCTAGCTTTTGACTACCCCACAAAGTGTCACATTGCCTGGAGAAATTTTCTCTCCCTAGCCTTTGGCTATCCAACAAAGTGTCACATTGCCTGGAGAAATGTTCTCTCCCTAGCCTTTGACTATCCCACAAAGTGTCACATTGCCTGGAGAAATGTTCTCTCCCTAGCCTTTGACTATCCCACAAAGTGTCACATTGCCTGGAGAAATGTTCTCTCCCTAGCCTTTGACTATCCCACAAAGTGTCACATTGCCTGGAGAGATTTTCTCCCACTTGCCTCTGACTATCCCACAAAGTTGTGTCTCATTGCCTGGAGAATTTTCTCTCACTTGCCTCTGACTATTCAGCAAAGTTGTGTCTCATTGCCTGGAGAGATTTTCTCCCACTTGCCTCTGACTATCCCACAAAGTTGTGTCTCATTGCCTGGAGAGATTTTCTCTCACTTGCCTCTGACTATTCAGTAAAGTTGTATCTCATTGCCTGGCTGCTATTCCATGATCTAGTAGTCAAGCTTTTAACTTCATTACACGGGGTCCTCCCATAATTGCTCTGTCCATGTGTCAGTGAAAAGCTTAATGTGCACACATGGTAAATACATAAAGGCAGCCTCTAGATCCCTTGGTCTGCCTGACATAAAAAAACTTCAATAGTAGTGAAGCTGCTATCAGTAAGTATAGCTATGGCATGATTAGATATCACAGGATGAATGTTGAATTAAGAATCGACATCACAGTACTCGGGACACTCCCATAAGTGCTCAGTACCCATCTTCAGCAGCAAGCGACAAGTTTCAATTCTGATGGTACCAGTAACCATCTGATTGTATATCCGTCTCATCCACCTCTTGAGTGTTGATCATCAGCCAGATCCCCTGGTGACTCCTCGCAGCACCATTCTCCTTAGACCGTAATGATCTATCTGCACCTCTGCACTGTTTACCCATTCCCAAAGGGCCCTCACAGTATCTAACTTGTCATACATCAGTTCACCACCAAGTGATGCAGAGCCAGCCAGACTATCTGCTGCTCATTTTCCAACACACCGGCATATCCTGGAGAAAATATACAAAGGATGCTAACTACCCAGGACCTCTGAAGTGATGCTTGCCACTCTGCACAAAGCATGACTATTTTCACCTTTCTAAACATGCTCTATAAGTCAGTTACAATCACTGCCTCCACCTCCATTCTCAAACTAGACGTTGTGATATCATATGCAAGGCTTTGCTGCACTAGACATCCATTTGCCTTTGCTATGAACCCCCATTCACTTCATCTGCCTCTCAACACAGATCCATCTGTATAGATTATCACATCACTTGGGCTGGAATTGTAATTCACAGGATGGAAAAACATCAAATCAAGGTTAAAATAACCAATCAAATGTCAGTGCATTAGAATTAGGAGTTAAAACTCATACCGCTGGAGAATTCCCAAACCAGCTAACCATGAGCTTCAGCTGAAGAATTTCCCAGGGTAGGGACCGGGACCCACTGCTTCTCTAACAAGCATGTTGTAAAAGGCAACAAATAGAGAAAGGGATAAGGATGTACAAGGTGGACATGGCTTTTCCGATAAATCAGATAATTTCTCTCCCTGTATGGGTTCCAGGGCCTCGCTGTGGAAGGAAAAAAATGGACACCCCTTCCACCATCCAACAAGTATGTTGTAAAAGTAGATTAATTAGTGTTTCCTTCAAAGTTGGAGTGCATCTGCTTGAGATGCCAAGTACCAACAATCTGCATTCAAATAAGTCAGACCTATAAAACAGAAGTGCAAACACAAGTTAAGTTCTAGCATAAATTGAGAAGGGAATGAAAAAACAAAGTGCAAAACACAAGTTAAGTTCTAGCACAAGTTGAGAAGTGGATGACAAAATACAAGTACAGACACAAGTTCTAGCACAAGTTGAGAAGGGGATGAAAAAACAAAGTGCAAAACACAAGTTAAGTTCTGACACAAGTTGAGAAGTGGATGAAAAAAACAGAAGTACAAACACAAGTTAAGTTCTAGCACAAATTGAGAAGTGGATGAAAAAACAAAGTGCAAACACAAGTTAAGTTCTAGCACAAGTTGAGAAGTGGATGAAAAAACAGAACTTTCCCCAGGGTTTACAGCCAGTGAATGTGAAGAAGAAGATATCTTTACAAGAAAGGTTGGCTGCAGGAAATCTCCAAAACTCTCTCTCAACATGATTATACACTCTGAGAGACTGCTGTCTGTCGATCACTTCATCTGATCTTCCCATCTACATTCCTGAAAGAGTATGATTGTCATCAACTGTTCATTTTCTTTTGAGATTTTACTTTTTAGAGTATAACATCACTGAATGTGGCTGAAATACTGTAATTCTCTCTCTGCTTCTTGTTCATTTATTTTTTTAAATTTTGTTTTAATCAGTTCTCTTTCCATTCTAAGTTACTTTTAGAACCTTCATGTCTGATTGTCTGCACATTATTCAATGTATTGTTTAACTGACATGCCTGCAAATGCGTGTATTCATGTTGGCATTTTTCTAGTAATAGTGTTACACTATGCTGTAGGGTAGCATGGGAATCATAGTCCAAGGCAATGGCGATTGTGTCTAGCAAACTCTCTCCACATAAAGAACTGTTCTCCACAATTAGAGCATGGAATATCAGGACCATTGTTGCCAACACATGTAGTTAACATTCCACTTCTCAGACAGAAACTCAGCTCTAACTTATCTGTAATATGTTTCCTCTCTTATCCCTATTCTCACTCTGACCCCCCCCCCCCCTTCCCCCCCTCCATGCAGTCTATAACATCATGTTCCCACGAATCTACCTCAATACTTGTTTAATTAAGGCCAGTGATAGAGTTCCCCCCACTCCCCCTTCTCCAGATCACAAAACCTGGGCATTACTGTAGAGGCCAAGTGTAGTCCATGCAGCATGGTCCTTCTGTTGTCCTGCTTTGTTTACTCCAAAGGGATGGTAACACCTTTACACTTTGAAATAAAAGCATCTTACAGAAGTGGAAAAGAAAAGCAGTGTTCCATCTATGTGCCTGTCAGAGGTTTCTACCAAGATCATACATCAACCACGCCCAAGGGCCTGGACTGCCCTGCAATAACACTAAACGTTCAGGTTGCATTTCATCTTGTCCATTTTAAGAGCGACTGCTAATGAATATGGCAAGGCACACACCAAACCACTAGACTGCTACATGTTTACGAATTATGAAACACACACTGAAGACAATATGTGATTGTGACAAAACTTGAAGTTATATATTTTGGTGAAACATCAGTCATTTCATACAAACATGAAAACACAGGGTTCATAGATCATCAGAATAATTAATGAACAGAATCTCTCAACCCATATAAAACAGTCATACAGGGGAAGGCAGGGCTGAAGCATTACAGTGTTTGCAATGTTTTTAATTTCTTAGACTGTGAGAATTGATATCTCCCCTTTTTAGAATCACATGACAAAGGTGTGCAAGTTGTGCATGTTAGAAATCCCAGGACAGATGAAAGTCACAAAGAGTAGGCTGTAAGGCCACTGCCCTGGCAACAGTGTTAGAAAAGCATCTTTCGGTAATTAAAGCCTGCTAAATGAGAGGCAATCTGCTATATGAAACAAACTTTACACAAATGCAAATGGAAGTCAGATACAGTGGCACCTGAAGGTACTAAAACAGACAAAATAACAGGCTAATTATAATTAAAACAAGCAACAAGGCCAACATGAGAAAATATCTGTCTCCTATTATGTATTTTCTGTTCCGTGTTGACCTTGTCACTTGTAGATTTAACCTGTTATTTTGCCATCTTTAGTGCCAGACAGATATTATGTAACTAATTCTATTTCAGAAGTGTTTATGTTAACTAATATAAGTCTGGGTTAGAATGAGTTTAAACAAAATAACAGTTAAATAAGGATATAACCTTTTCGCACTGAAACCAACACTTCCAATGGGTCAAATTCCCTGCAAGTGTCACTTTTATCAACAGTCGAAAGTAGCCTGTTTATAAGATGTGTAGTTATTGGCTATTTTCACGCCCACTCATTTTTTCTTCTAAAGTGCTACCAGTGTGAATGGGTAAAAGTAGCAATCAGAGCTGAGTATGTTAGTATAGCATTTAGTTGTGACATAAGGAGTTAAACAAAGTGTATATGTAGAGCCAAACAAATGCAGTGCTTGGTACTAAATGAGGCGAAGAGTATATGGTCAAAATGTCTGTATTTGTGTACATCTTTTCAACTTCCTCCAATTATGTCACAGTGTTTTATGTGTTTGGTAACTTCTTTGTACCAACCTGACTGCAGAAACTTGTAGTGTATTAACATATTAACGATCTTTCATGTTGGAGCTCAGATTGATGGCCAATGACGATCCACATTTTCAAAACAGTGACCCCTGAGTAAACTTAGTTGTAAAGGTAAAGGTGAGAATCGAATTCACTGCACCAGGTTTTACCCCATATAGCTCGGTCTCTCTCTAACTGCCTGCCACGAGCGTTGCACAGAGCACAACCCTCATAGCACCGACAATGATCCCCACTGATCTCCCTGTAAAAATTCCACTGAATGGGGCCACCGTAGAAAGAACCCGCGACCTTCAGAACGTGAGGCTAACAGTTTGACCCCTTCACCACAGAGCTGGTGTAGATGATCTGGTGTTATCATTTGTTAATAAAATGTTCATAACTATTAAACCACAATTTTAGTGTTAGCACAAATTTATTACATACATTCACTGTTCTGTCAAGCACTACTTCCACTGGCAAAATTTGTATGCAGAGCCATGATTGTCTTGGTGACGTCACGAGCCACTTCCGAGCGCAGGGCACTTGCTGCGTGGGTAAGCTGTAGGGCTGCATCGGGATGAGCTGTCCCAGGAAGCAGCCTGCATTCTCTTTCCAACATGGCAGCCATTGCCTCCAGAAGTTCCAGAAAACCAAAAGACAGGGCAGCCCGTCTGGTGCGATTCAGTTCCTGAATGAAAAAAGATTAAAAATGGTTGAAAAAATGTGGCCGTTTTCAAAGTCTAATATGATGCCCTTAGCAAATCCATCTACAGGGTGATTGAAAAGTAACTCCCAATGTCAAAATAGTTACAAATTATTTGTTTAATGTAATTTTTGTCTCAAATTTTACCTGCTTGTTCTTTAATGAGAACGTAATCAGCAAATTTAATCTGTTTTTAACTGTGCTTCAAATTGCTGCAAAGGTACTGAAGAACTTGAAGGGTGAATATGAGAAGTTATATCTTCCATTCCACAAGAATTCCTGGTAAATTAACTGGCGTGATTTCTTTGGCAGCTTGAGGCGCTGGTAATGAAATCTGGTGCCCATAATAAATTTTAAACAGAACCTTATGCTAAACGTTTAAAAGGTTTACAATCGAGAGGATCAATTTCATTGCACTGGGTTTTATGCTAAATGATTCAGTCTAACTTTGCAGAATGCTTAACTGTTTAGAGTGTCATACAAAACACAAACACCATGGTTTCAGTGATAAAACGCCAAGGGTTCTGATAAAAATGTCACTTACGAATCGAACAATGCAAATGTAAACTGAACCCACTAAATTCACAGCATGAGGCTAACAGCTTAACCATTTACCCATGATGACCTCCAGGAGCCAACAAGGTGTAGTGGCTAGATGCTTGCCAGCAGATAGTCTTGGGTTTTTAAAAAAAAAGGCTTTGGCTACCAGGTCGACCCAGTTTTAAATGTGTTTACCAGGTAAAGTATTGGGAAATAAAAGCATGCTGGTGACCACAGTCATCTATAAAATATAGCTCTAGAACTATATGCCCAATAAGCCTGATGAGCGTGGAAAAAGGCCATTTCAGAGGATGCCCACTATAACAAATTTGAACTTAACAGATAATTATTGCATTAGAACTTAAAGTTTGACTAATCCCATGCTTATGCTGAGAATGGAGGAGATATCCTAACTGAGCCTGAGTGCTTTGTAAGTCTAAGAGATGAGCCAGTATAGCTACAGACTAGTCAAGCATCCATCATGAAATGTGATAAGGACATCCCCTTTTGTTAAACAAGGCTAAAATCGACAGCCCTTTTATTACCTAAGTCTGAAATGGACAGCCCTTTTATTACCTAAGGCTGAAATCGGACAGCCCTTTTATTACCTAAGGCTAAAATTGACAGCCCTTTTATTACCTAAGGCTAAAATCGACAGCCTTTTTATTACCTAAGGCTAAAATCGACAGCCCTTTTATTACCTAAGGCTAAAATCTACAGCCCTTTTATTACCTAAGGCTGGAATGAACAACCCTTTTATTACCTAAGGCTGCAATCGGCAGCTCTTTTATTACCTAAGGCTGAAATTGACAGCCCTTTTATTACCTAAGGCTAAAATCAACAGCCCTTTTATTACCTAAGGCTGAAATCGACAGCCCTTTTATTACCTAAGGCTGAAATCGACAGAACTTTTATTACCTTTGGCTGAAATTAACAGCCCTTTTATTACCTAAGGCTGAAATAGACAGCCCTTTTATTACCTAAGGCTGAAATGGACGGCCCTTTTATTACCTAAGGCTGAAATGTAATATCTAGATAGAGGGGAGTAATATTAAAAATTGGGAATGTGTACTTTTTCCTTTTCACAGAACAAGGCTGAAATGGACAGCACCTTTTACTGAAAAAGGTTAAAAATGGACAGCACCTTTTCACAGAACAAGGCTGGAATGGACAGCACCTTTTACTGAAAAAGGTTAAAAATGGACAGCACCTTTTCACAGAACAAGACTGGAATGGACAGCACCTTTTCACAGAACAAGGCTGAAATGGACAGCACCTTTTCACAGAACAAGGCTGAAATGGACAGCACCTTTTCACAGAACAAGGCTGAAATGGACAGCATCTTTTCACAGAAAAAGGTTGAAAATGGACAGCACCTTTTACTGAAAAAGGCTGGAATGGACAGCACCTTTTCACAGAACAAGGCTGGAATGGACAGCACTTTTATTAAACAAGGCTGAAATGCACTGTACCTTTTTCACAAAATAAGACTGAAATAGAGAGCAACTTTTATTGAGCAAGGTTGAAAGGACAGCAGTCTATCAAACACAGGTCACAAAAAAATGTTGCGGCATGTTTATCCTTATGTTTTTGTCACACACAAGAAGATTACCCTGATAACCTAAATTCATCTTAACGTTTTTATTATCAAGCTACACATTCCCCATTTGTAAGATTACTCCCCTCTATCTGAATATTACATTAACTCCTTCTACTTTCCTCAGTGCCACCAACCCGTTTACCCCAGAAGTGCTAAAATAAAAGGGCAAAACATGGAAATCCTCCTCGGACCTTTTCCAATCCCTGAGAGACCCCATTTGAGATTGTAAACAGAGCTGTCTGCAGCACAACATGACCACTACTCCACAGCCACAGCATAGGACAGAGGCAATTAAATAGCCACAATCATGATGATTTTGCTGTTTGTCAGGCTAAACACACTACCAGACTTGTTAAAAAACATTAAAGCTGTATAAATAAACATGTCTACAAGTCAGTTTATTAGAGACAGTGATCAGTTATAGGGAAGGCCCAGACAAGTGCGCAGGAGGATATTTTATAATAGCAAAATAGGAGATGGAAGTGCAGCATAGTATAGTTTCTAGATTGCTGCCCGCTGGTCCAAGGTCTTGGGTTTGAATCTGCACCATAATAGGTAACATCTTGCTTCAGGAAAGCAAAGGTGGCCACCTTGATGTTGACCTCATCACCCATAGAGTGCCAATTTGTTTGTTAAAAAAAATGAACCTATAATCATATGCCTGATGGGTCACTAGCAAAAAAAGGCCTTTTTCCTTTACTATAGGACTCGCACACACATAAACACACATACATGCACACACAAAATTATTACGTAAAAAACTAACTGTATTATTCCATATGTGTCAAACATATATTGTTAACGATGCTTTACCGTATTTACTATGTAACATATTAAAAAAAATATATAATGTGCAAACTAAACATACCTTGTAAAACTGCTGCAGCTTGTCTGGTAACTTGCGAGCGTGCCGTAACACCTTTTGAATATCAGACTGTTGGAACAAGGAGAGATCTCATATCTTAAGTAAACACTTCGATCCAATCAGGAAATCAGACTTAACCATACCATCAATGATTCCAATCATAAATATCTAAACCAGTAATAATAAATTGACAGATTTGAAGCTTCCGTTTAAATTAACTACCAACACAGGTGCTACAAGATCTAATGTAAAAGCAAGAGGTCACCCCAGGAGACATGGACTGATGACATTAAAGAACTTCTATACTTACACAGCATGACAATAGCCATTGCTGTCCGCCAAGCAATAGATAGCAAACTGTCCCTCCCCACGGTCTCTCTTCTGCCTTTCTATCCCCCAATGGAGCATAGGCCCTCAACCAACTCACACCAAGTCGTTCTATCCTTCGCCATTGCATGGAGCTCTCCCCATGTCCTCCCAATCTGTCTAACCTCATTCTCCAGCTCTCTTCTCCATGTGTTTTTTGACCTTCCTTATTCCGATGCCCTTGTGGGTTCCAATGCAAAGACATTCTAGTTATGCTGTTCTAATGTTTTCTCAGTGTGTGCCTTATCCAACGCCAGCGTCTTTTCCTCACCTCCTGATCCACTGGAGCCTGTTTAGTTCTGTCCCAAAGTTCTACATTAGTTATTCTATCATACCATTTTATTTCATCTATTTTGCGCAGGCACCAGTTAATGAATGTCTGTAATTTATTAATTGCCTTGGTTGTTCTCCATGTTTCCGCCCCATACAATAGTACTGATTTGACATTAGAATTAAAAATTTTTAGTTTAGTATTTCTTTTAATTTCTTTTGACCTCCACAAATTCCCTAGTGCTATGAAAGCCCCTCTTGCCTTTTGTATTCTTATTGTAATATCTCTATCAGTTCCTCCATCTTTATCTACATTACTGCCTAAAAAGGTGTACGACTCCACGTCTTGGAGTGGGGTGCCATTAAGAGAAACCACATTACTATTTGCATGATTTATTCTCATTATCTTTGTCTTTCCTTTATGGATTTTCAGACCAAGCTGCTGTGATCTCACATTAAGTATATTTAATTTATCTTGAATCTGATTCCGTGAATGGGACAGAAGGGCAATATCATCAGCGAAGTCCAGATCATCAAGCTGTTTTGTAGGGGTCCACTGAATTCCATTCTTGGTGTTAGCAGTTACTGTTTTCATAGTCCAGTCTATAGCCAGTAAAAATAAGAGAGGCGACAAAAGACATCCCTGTCGCACACCTGTTTTTATTTCAAATGCATCTGTTAGCTTTCCCTCATAAAGAACTCGACATTTCATGTCTTTATATGTTGCCTTTACCAAGTTGATAATTTTCTGTGGGATTCCATAGTGTCCCATTAATTTCCAGAGAGATTCCCTATCAATGCTCCTCCCCACGGTGCATAATGGCAAAAAAGTGTAAACTGACGATGGTGATGATGATGATTTAAGTAAACTCACAAAGAGAATAGGCTACCCTCATAAAAGGAAGATGAGGGGTAGGGAGGGAGGGTCACAGGTAAGTTTCCCAGACACAACATTTAGTTCATGAGTGCAAACTGTATGAATATCCCCGAGGATTGTCAATGGAGCTACAGAGTTTGTGCTTAGTGTGCTGCTCCTGGCAGGCAAATGAATTAACATGTGTAAGAATGTGTGAGTGTGGAATTGTGAGTAGAGTGAGCAAGTAGGGATGTATTAGAGAAAGAGAACAATGTCTGTATAAACAGTTTTCTACAAGAGAAGTTCACATATAAGACATTCGCTGCAGGAGATGGAGAATCTTTGATGTCCAGTGCTATGATGCCAACTCTTAAATCATAATTTTTCTTATTTCTCTGCGTTAACCCTTTAAAAAAAAGCAGTTGGGATGTAAGAAGATGCAAGGAAAGTAAGTACATGACCCTTTTAAACACCTGATGTATTGAACATAAAGTGAAGGATGTATATTTTACTGTCCAATCAGCACTTGACATATGATGTGTTCAACATCACGTCGGCCGCGTTTACTTTTATGATGTTATCTGATAGCAATTTAAGGCTGTCGACCTGGTAACCAAGACCAGTTTAAAAAAAAAAAAACTTGATATGCAGATTTGAACTCTAGACCTTAATGTGTCTCCTTTGAAGTCGGAGTGCATTTGTCCGACAGGTGAGGAACTAACCGTCTGCATTAAAATGAACTAGATCTAAAAAAAAATGGATGTGCATGCAAACCTTAAGTTCTGGAACAAGAACAAAGTGCAGAAGTGGATGAACCATCAGAACTTTGTGCTGGAGTTTACAGCTGATGAATGTGAAGAAGAAGAAAATAGCCCAATCGGTAATCGATGGGTGATGTAGTCACCATCACACCATCTGCTTTTCTTCACCATGACATTACCTCATAGCCACTGTAGACCTTGGAGCCAAGATTAATTTTAAAAACATTAACAAAACAACCTTGATTCATATTTGATGAACTCTAGACCTAGGCAAGCAGGTGAACATCTAGCCAGCAGGCTGGTGAGGCTCCCACGCAAAAGAAGAAAACTGAAATTGAGCATCTGACCGTTCTGATTCAGTAGGACAGAAAACAGGTAAAGACAGAACTGAAAGTACCAAGATGATGTACCTGCACACAGAGCAAATCCTTACCTGTAATCCTGAAGGTTTAATCCACACAACGCAACTTTGTGCATAGCTGCGCTTATCTGTAGGCCGGACGGGAAAAGGTGATTTCTTTTCTTCATCAGAATAGATCACTTCTGGGAGGTATTCTTTGCATGAGGTCAGATTGTCAAATGGCCCAATCCAGGGAATGGCATTCTGACCTAGAAAACATCATGAAAACTTATGAGTGAATTTGTAAAGGACCACTTTCATACCAGTGGTGCATCAAGCATCTGAGTCTAGACTCCCACTTCTTTAGACATAAGCATTCGACAGGTGATGTGGTCAACATAATGCCAATCACTTTTACTTCCCAGTACTGAAGCTGGTACCCACTTTAGGCAGAGTCAACACAGGCGCCAAAGTCAAAATAAATCTAGCTGCTAAGTTTATGCAGCTCTGCTGCTACGGCTTCACTGTCACTTTATTTCAACATAATTTGGATCTTACTTCAACAAATGGAAAATGCTTTAAAATGTATTCTCTTTTAATGAATGGAATGCAATGGAATATATTTTATTTTTACTGAAAGGAATGCTTTGATATATATTTAACTTTAAAAAGTCATGAAGTGGAGAAAGAAAACAAAAGGATAGAGAAACCAACCTGGTTCAAATAAAGCTAGCATTAAATTTGACTTCTTCTTACTGTCAGCCCAGGAGTAGATCATGCCATACCAGTCTTCCCTGGATGAAGAGAGAAATATATGTAATCAATATTTTTAAAGAGTATACATTTTTTTAAAATATAATCACAATTTACTCATAAAAACTGAAAAAAACTGTGCCTGCTCTAAAATGGTCGTTAGCTGCAATCTTTCCGCTGCTAGCTATGGGATTTTTACATAGTGAAGCCCCAACTGTTTTCCTGGTGTGACTCTTGTACTACTGTCTGAAAGCCATGAGAATGGTCCTTTTCTAAGCAGCCTATCATGGAAATCCAACCCTGGTTGACACTGAGGATTGCACTGAAACCATTTCAATAACTTTTAACATCTAAAGTCATGGCTAAGGAACTGTAAAAAAGAACAGATCTTGCATATGGCTAAAGTGACAAAAGGTGCGGCAGCCAAGCTAGGCAACATCTACACAGTATGAAAATCTGTTGCCAAGGTGCTCACAGACATCAGACAGACACAAAAAGACAACTTGTGCAAATTTTACTGCAAGAAGACACACAAGCCCAAGGATCTCATGCAGAAAAAAACCAGGGCTATGAAGAGCTGAGAAACAGCGCACTTACCCTCTGAGATCATGTGTCATCAATATATAATTCCCATCTCAGTCAGGATCTTGTCCTAATATAACCAATTTATATGGTTGAATGAGGTTTCCAGGATTTCTACCTGTTTCATTATCATCCTTGGTGTTCCAAGTGTGGGTTCTGGAGCCCCATTGTGGAAGGGAAGGAGGGGGGGGGGGGCGGGGCGGGGGAGTCTTATACAAGACTAAGGGTGATTCCCTTGAAGTTGCAGTACACATCTGCCCGATGTGTAAGAGGAGGAGAAACCAGCAGTGTGCACATGAATAAAACAGATCTGTAAAATGGATGTCCCTCGAGTGCTGGAATCCCTGGTTTAAGTCTGGGTGAAAGCTAGGATTTTTTCACATGAACTTTCAGTAATTTCCCTTGGTCTGGAAGTAGTGAGATCAAACAACCAAGTGTAGTATTGAGCACATAAACAAAATCCCTTGGCAGTTGGAAATCAAAAAGAGCAGCCTAACGACACCGCCCGGGCTAAATTTGCAGTTAAAAATCTACCCAAAATATTTCAGGATCGTCGCCGGTGCAACAGAGTTTGAATAAACCAAGAAACCAAACTATTACCGCAATCATGGGAGAGATCAGTTACCTACCAGTACATCAATATAAGGAAAATTAATAAAAGCCAGCACTCACTGAACCCTTGTTACAGCAACCATACTCTCCACCTTCAGACTCCCATGCAGTAGCACAGTAAATGATGGGGTCTTGCCCTCATCTAGAGTCTCATCTTCTTCCTCAGACTTGCCACTTTTGTTTTCCTTATCTTCTGTCAAGAGATGTGAATAATATTACAACGTGTATTTACATCCACACCTTGATAGGAACTCAAACACATGACCAAACAAGTTGACAAAGTTGTCTTGTTTCTTTTTTGTCGTCCTCTTTAATTCTTCTTTTGTGTTCATCCTCAAAAGGACAGCTGGCAAATTGTGTTGTGGTTTACAGCTAAGCTGTGATATCAGCATCTTTCAGCCCAACAGATCTGATTTCAGCCATCTCTTAATTAGTCACCTTCTATGACATGCTTGTTAAGATGCAGTGAGTTTACACTTTCTTTCTTCCCACAATGGGATCTCAAAACCCATATGCAGCCTCTTTAATTCTATATATGTTTTCATTGACAGATCATGCCCGTTCATATTATCTCTTGAATTAAAAAATTTTTTTTTCACATCACAGTGTGTGAACAAGGTATGAATAAGTAGAAGGTTGAAGGGAAAGCAGCTTTCAACACAACTGACACATAACCAACACTTTAACTGTCCAATGATAATTTCATGGGTATTGTGGTTAACATCATGCCAGCCATGCTTTACTCTACATGAAATTTCCTGTCTTATGCCAGGACCCCAGAACATTTACTAAAAAATCCATTAATAGATGGATTTCAGCCTAAGACCTTTCAGCCAGACAGCAAACATCTAGCCTCTGTGCCACCAGAGCTCCCCGATCTGTGCGTGCCCTTTTATAAATGTTTGGAGGTATCCGTGGCAGAGTGGTCACACCATCTGGCTCGTACTATGAAGTTCGCAGGTTTGTTTCACGGCTGTGTCATTCAGTCCATAAAGGACATTTTTTTCATGGAGGATCGCCGGCGGAGCTAAGTAGTATGTGTTTAGTGCAAAACTCTCGACAGGCTGAGAGAGACTGAGCCATATGAAATTAAAACCTACTGCAAGGAAGTTCATCCTCTCGACTTTCTTCTTCTTCTTCTTCACTTCCTCTTTTACCGCTGTGGGTGTCGAGGGTGAAATAAGGTTCTGTTTCTAGCTCTTCTGGCCGCCTCGATCATAGGCACATCGTGCTGTTGTAGAGTTTCTCTGATGTTATCCTTTCATCGTGTTCTCTCGACTTAAACTTAGTTTTATAAATGTTGTTCCTGGTCATTTTATCCTTCATCCAGGATTCTGTCACCTAGTACTCTGCTGACCAAGCCAATGTTATTCATCCCATTTTTATTACTTTACGAAGTGATGTTATTTTATTTTCTAGTGCTTGATCATCTGACAATTTTACAAACATCCCATTTTAAATGTCTTTGCAATTTTCCCATGACCTTAATCCATTGACAATAATTCTTCTTCTTTGTGTCTAACAACGGGAAACTTCGTGAAAGTTCGGACTGTTTGTCCACTTCTGGCTTTAGTGTTGTTCTGGAACTTGAGTTTTGCATGCACATCCATTTTACAGATCTAACTTATTTGCTTCTCAGGCAGATGCGCTCAGAATTCAAATTCATCATCATCATCATCCCATAACACTATGTGTCGTTGGGTCACCAGTTTCTGTTGACTGTCTGATCATCTCTCTCCACCTTTGGCAGTCAGTTGTAATGGACTTCATGGTCGCATACTTGAGGACCCTTAATTAGTAGACTTGTATACATGTTTCTTTGGAAAGAAAGAGGGGGAGAATGGGTCTATTCCCAAAATGGGGTCCATCAACAGACAATGGCAGTCTATTTATAGTTCAGAACTATATAATGCAACTGCTCTGATGCACATATAGGCAATTCTTTTTCTGTTTTTTTTTAATGACGTCACTGTGTTCCGTGTGGCTATGTTAGCATAAACCATATATTTTCTCAGTCAAAGGGAGTGAAAGCAGCTAATTCTTTCTTCTGTTTTTATTATTATGTTTTTATAATTATATCCCTTACTAGACTGCAGAATTTTGTTGCTTTCAAAAATACCAAAAACTTTTACTTTAAAAAAAAAGTGACTTGGGGGCTGTGAGGATGCAATTGCTAGCAGGCTTGCCTGTCTGCTCGGTGTTCATAGGACTCAATCCTCTAGATTTTTAAAAAAACTGACCATGCTCCAAATTTCTTCTGCTGCTTCTTCTCTTTCTCTAGTTTTTTATAATAAGGAAGTTTCTCTAACACACACACACACACACAAACGGCTTGGGTTAAGTATGAGTATCTGAGGGTTGTGAACACAGTTTTACAACCTCATCAAACCAAGATTTAACAATCGATCAGTCTGTCCCCTCTGAGGTGCTACCTAAAGGTTTACTATACCATCCCAAGATTTAAAAATCTCAATCTGGATGGCAGACCAACAAAGTAGATCCCAGATACCTCATTCATCACTCTAAAGAAGATATAATTAAAGCACTTATAATGGCTACTTCAGCCAGGTGTAATCTGCAGTTCTATGCAAGTGAGCATGTGTCTCTCCCCCGGATATTTATTATCCCCTTCCCACATGTCCCGCCAGTCGGTTGGCTAGAAATATACGAAGATAAGTGATATTGTGTATTTTTGTGGTATTGTTTAAGTTGTGTGTGTGCTGATGAAGGCTCCATAGCTACAACGTTCATGTTCTGTTCATGTTTGTTATATTGTGAAGCTCACTGGTATACTTTTCATTCGTGTTTATATCTTTCCTATGCAAGTGAGTGGGTCTCCGTGGAGAAGTGGTCAAGCTGTCTGCCTTGTGCTCTGAAGGTCGTCGGTTCGTTTCACGGCAGCACTGTCCAGTTCATGAGTGCAATCTTTACGGAGATCCCCTGGGGAGCGATGGAGGTCGTGCTTTGTGCAGCACTTTCGGCAGGCAGCTAGCCTTCTGCGGAGAGAGACCAAACCATATGGGATGAAACCCGGTGTAATGAAGTCGATCTTCTCTATCTTAACTTTAGGACCCAAGGTTTGACATCAGCTGCGGACAATTTGGTAGCAGACCCTTTTGCATTGATTTTTGACCATAATTTGATTGCTGTACTTTTCACAAAGAAATGGCAAATTACTGAATGTAAAATTGCCCAGTAAAACCATAAAACAGGCAACAAATGTTGGGGTCAGTTTATGAGGTTCTAAAGAGGACACGCAACGATTTTTTTGCTTTGGAATGAAAGAATTAAGTGAGGTAATTGGAACAAGCAAAACTTACTGTCTGCTGCTCCTCTATCTTTCGTTGATTTTGGTAAAACCAGGTGTCGGGCCACAGTCGGTGGGCTCCCAATGTCTTTAATATCAATGAAACCAATAATTTCTAATTTGTCTGTCACTGTGTGTGTTTCCAGGCCATCATCCATTTGCCTTAGACCGTAAATTAGTATAAAAAATTTTTATACATAGATACTTGAATAAATTATTTGTCTAAATGAAGTAATTTTATCTTCTTCTTCTGTATTCGCCCTTTAAAACACTATTGGCAAGTCGTGTTTGTGGTTTACAGCCAGGCTACAATATCTTTATGTACGCATATGTAGCCGTGTAAGTATGTGTTTGTATGTGTGTGCATTTAGGTATGTATGCAAGTATGCATGTATGTGTGTAAAGATGTGAGTGTATGTATAGATGATGTGTGTATATGTATAGATGATGTGTGTATATATGTATGTATGAATCTATGTGTGTGTGTGTGTGTGTGTGTGTGTATGTATGTATGTATGTATGTATGTATGTATGTATGTATGTATGTATGTATGTATGTATGCATGCATGTATATGGGTGTACTTATGCATGCGAGTGTATATGTGTGGTTGTGGGTGTCTGTATATGTGTGTGTATGCATGTGTAGGTGTGTATGTATGGAATGTGTGTGTGCATGTATGTCTATGTATGTATGTGTGTGTGTTTTATGTTGTGCATGTAAATATAAGTATATATATGTGTATGGTTTATGTTTGGGTATGTATGTAGATGCGTGTATGTATTACGTATGTCTGTATATGAGTATGCATATATGAGAATGTAAGAGTATTATATGCGTGTGTGTGTGTGTGTGTGTGTGGTTTAGTATGTAAGATTGTGTACACATGATGTATGTATGCAATATTCCATAATGTATATTTCTTTATAATATATCCATAACATGCATTATTGATAACAGGCAATGGTACTCTGAAAAATGAGTGCTTAGAAGGGCTGAATGTCAGACGGGCCTGCATGCCCAATTTGTAACCCTTTGAAAATAAAGTTTGTTTGTTCGTTCATACCTTTCCGCTCAAATACCGGATTTCAGCAAAGTCAAAATTATACACCTTTTAAGATATGTTTTTTTTTTATAGGTTATTGCATCTATCCCCCCCCCCCCTCCCCCTTTCCAAGGGCCCCTAGAAACCACATAGGAAACAGAAGAAATGGAAACAATGAGAGGGAAACAATAAACATCTTCTTCTTTACCCTGCTCCTGGAATGCCTTGTGGCGTCAGAGCAGGAAGAGATCTCTGGAACTGGCCCTTCTGTTTTCTTCATATAGTTTTCAGTGTTTCTGATATTTCTGCAGTTAATATTCTGCGTGGTAGACCTCTGGCTCTCTTATCGTTGTATCTGTATAACATTGCTCTCTGTGGTGTCCTGTATGATGCCAATCTTGTTACATGGAAAACCATTTGATGTGTTGTCTACCTAAAATGTTCAGTGTTGGTTTTGTGCCAACTCTCCTCTTAATATCCTCGTTCCTAAGTCGATATTTTCTTGTTACACCTAGCACATTTCATATCTGTCTGACTATTTACCTTCTGTCTTCTGAAGACAGTGTCCATGTTTGACATTGATAGCATAGCACTGGTAAGAATATCATGTTAAACAGTGTTCTTTTTGTGTTCATATTCACATGCTTGCATTTAAGAACTGGTGCCATTTGGCTTAAAACTTGATTGGCTTTATTTGCATCTTTGCTAGATTTCTTTATTAATTCTTCCATCTTCTGAAAAAAAAAAAAAAAAAAAACTGCTTCCCAAATATGTAAAATCCTTTGCTTGCTTTAACTGGTATTCATCAATTTTGATATTGGTGGTCCTTCTTTTTCTGGAGAACGTCGTCACTTATGTTTTGTCTACGTTGATCTTTATTTCATAGCTGTCACATCCTAAACATAAACCAAGGTAAACAAATTCTATGCCATGTGTCTCCAGCTCAAAACTATCAAGATACAAGTTTTTCTCTCCACTCCCAAGAGCCTGGCTGCCAGGCTACCAACACTACTAAAATGATAAAGTAAATAAGAGAAGTTCTGCTGTCTTGTCCATGGACAAAAGTTAGCTAGTAACAGTTCATGTTGTATTTAGTACACAACTGATTAAGACTTTGGTCCACATGTCCATTTTTTTTGCACATGTCCTTTTCATTCCCTCTGTCAAATGTTGAAGTCCCAGTCTGTTTTTGTATTCAGTATTCCAGCTACTACTATTACTGTTGGATGTGATATATCTGTGGTCATAAAGGTACAGTGTGATGCCTGACCTGGTCGTAAACAGTCTGTCACAGAAGTCACGTGGTTTTGAAACTTTCTACTCCACTCATTCACTTGTTGCAATGGCAGGCAGGTTATCATCATACTGGGCCTCCCTTTGCAGAACAACTGCTATATGTTTTACCTGTTCAACAGTTAAAAAAAAAACCAGGTAACAAATGCTGCTCCTCTTTGGTGTATATTAAAAGTGGAGTGGTCATCTTTAATCTGTCATTATGATGTCACGTGGCTTAACTACACCTTGACATGTCTTAAGAATGCATCAAGCTTTTGAAATGGCTTACAAACACTGACAGTTCAGTTCACGAAAGTGACAAAATGACCCAGACCACTGTATATTGGAGACTGCTAGTAGCCTAGGCTAGCTAGCAGCAGTTTTGGTTGGAATCCCTTTTTGTTTTTCTCAAAAGGACATGGACATTATGCAGCAGATCAGATCCTATGCCCTTCCCCTCCTCCTTTCCCCTTCAGTTTAGGTCTTAGGAATGTCTACTGATCTTTTGCCAGTTTCCCGAACACAAGCAATACTGAGTCAACAGTGTCTTTATTGCCCTGTATCCAACTTTATGTTGGCTGACTTCTATCTTTTACAGGGTATCAACAACCAAATCAATTATGAATGCTAATCATTAGCATATAAATGGTAACTAAATATCTTACCTAATATATGGCTCTGGTTTGGGGAAAAGATGGACTGGACATACAAAATTGCCACAGGATAATGTTCCGCAGAAAGGACTGTAATACTTTTCAGCTAGGCGAATGAAGGCATCTTCCACTGACCTAGAAGAATCAATTAAACACATCAGTAATAAAATTCTCTACACTTTATTTTAAAATTATATTTGAACACAAACTACAGAGAAATTGGCACAAAGCTAAATAAAGCATATGTAGAGGAAAATATAGATGACATGGCAGGAAGAAATGTTTACTGTGATGAGCAACAACAACCAAAAAAACTGCCTGTAATTAACATTTTTGTGGTGTATGGGGGCGGGTTTTTGAGCCTGAGCATTCAGGGCCTCATGGTTAATGCAGTTAAAACAGACTGTGCAGTTTGGAATTCTGTTTTGTTTGTTTGTTGTTGTTGCTCCTAAGAGATAAAACCCATAACCTTACAGAAGATTCAAACCTGGGTCTCCGGCATGAGAGTTAAGCTTTCTATTATGACAAGATCAGCAACTAGAAATGATGACTAACAAGTACAGGGAAACAACATTGGGAGGAAATTATCAAAAGACAGTGGTGCACAGTAAGGTCATGTAATAAGACTAACCTCACCCCCAGCAGTATGTCAAACCCAGCACTAATATCAATATAGCAGAACTGAAGAAAGCAGACCACTGAGAGACGAATTTGAGATGGCAGATAGTCAGCTTGCTGCTGATGTTCTCAAAAGTTACTTGTTTATAACTGTTTAAAAACTGTCATTTTTAAAAGACTTTCAGGGGATGACAAATTAAGTCCAGGTAATCCCCACAATAATAGTAGTCAGACAGCTCCAATGCTTAGCATTAACATCTGGAAAACTCAAATACATGATAAAACTGAGGGCGCTGCTTACCTAAAGAAAAAAACCTCAGTCATTCTCAAACTATGTCATAAAAGAGAGACGTTTGTCTTGTGTGCTTATCTTTAAAAAAAGCATTGACTGGCTATGTTGTGGTTTACAGCAAATCTGCACCTTTTGACCCAAACACATATAATTTCACCAAACTTCATGATAAACTCCCTAATAATTTACCATTTGTGACATGCTTAGGGGAAAAAAAGGAGAGGGGGGGAGTGTTGACAGTCCTTTTTCCTACAAAATTTGGGCTCCGCGCCTACCTGGATAATCATGCGTAAAAGAAAGAAAATTGAGCAAGGTTAAAAAACAAACATCAATTGAAAACCTTTCAAAAGAAATGATAATTACTTAAAACTGATGGGTCCATCAAGTGTGAAAAGTTCCCCGCCCTGTTCTCCAACATCTAAGACCCAGCCCCGACACCAAGGCTGCCATCTGTTATTAAAATGACCTGGAAAATATTTGTCAAAAATTAGCAAATATATTTAACACTAAATTATTCCATACATTTTAAATACAATGCAGCATGGCTCGCTAGCTCAGTTGGCTTAACCTGACTGCACGGCAACGGGGTGACGAACTCCTTGTGGTCCAGGTTCACGCCAGGGAAAGGAGGCCAAAAAAAAAGCCACATTTCTCCCAGATTGATTAAATCCATCATGGAATCAAGGTTCCTAAGGGTTGCGATATCCATAGTACCGAGCCAAACCATGGTTTCTATTTATTTAAAAAAAAAAAAAAAATTGCACAAAGATACTGCACTCAATAAATTATACCAAACACAGTAAATCATAGCTAAGAAAGCTACAACAAGCATATGACCAGCAAAGACTAACACAGTGAAATATCAACATTGCTGTGAAATGAATGTCAGTTTGCTGAGACAGGAAGTAAATATTGAACATGTAGGTAACATGATTTGATTCCTTTATGGCTTATAAGCTGCAAAGAGTTTGTGTGTGTGTGTGTGTGTGTGTGTGTATGTGTGTGGGGTGGTCTGGCAGTGGTGAGTTTTTATAAAGTGTAAGAAAAATATCATGCCAATATGTCCTGCACAGAGATCAGTTTGTGGAATACAGACCCTTCTAGCCAACTGTTTCAATCATTGCATTAAATATGTTGTAAATGAACAATAATATCATGCTGAACTATATGATATTTGATATGTTTTTATTTTCCCTATTAAAAGTCATTTTTTTTAAGGGAAGGTCATGGGTCTTGGGTCATTTTATCTCTAAAAATGGGATTGTGATTCTAAAAAGATTAGGAACTGCTGCTTTGTGGAAGAGCCGTGGCTAAATGCTTGCTGGCTTGAAGATTTTTTGTTTAAATGGGGTGGAATTTATTAATTCACCTTTACTTCTAGGCCAACTCCACCTAAAATGGACACCAGGAAATGTCCTTTGCAGTTAAGCAAGAAGCAGACATCTCCCATCAGGTGCTATTCAGTTTATTAAAATATGGGTTTAGCACACACCCCCCTCCCCCCTTATTTTTTTTTCAAACTAACTTATGGAACACAAGTAACACTAGGTGATGATGTCAGTTAGAATAAATTTCTTGTCATACACAAAAACCAGGTATTTATTTCTGTCATCCCTCACATGATATTCACTGTACAAAACATAACCACCGAAGCCAACATCTTATTCTGATGGTTTGAACAAGGGATCAACATCATGGCACACAGCTACTTCTAACTCAAACCTGAGTTCAATGAAGAAGAATCTCACCGCAGTACATGATTTCTGTAGCACCGACAAGAATCCTGAAATACTTTGGGTAGATTTGTAACTCCAAATTTTGCCCGGGCAGCACTGTTAGGCTACTCTTTTTGATTTCTAACTGCCAAGGGAATTTTTATGTGCGCAACAAAACACAGGGGCGTCGGATTTTACTATGCAGAGACCAGGGAAAATTACTAAAGTCCATGTAAAAATCCTAGCCTTTACCAGGGCCTGAAACTGGGACCTTTAGCACTCGAGGCAGATGCCATGCCTTGAAACAACTCAGCTCCATCTTATTATGAATTCTGAGACACTCAGTATGTCACAAGCTAAATTTAACGCAGTTGCAAATTACAAAAATACTTAAATCTGTATATTCAATGCCATACACTTTGCAAAGGTACAAGATAGAAGAGAAAAGGGGAAAGAAAAAGAATGCTATAACTGCCCCAATCTCCTGTCTTGCTGATTATTATTTAGGATGCAATTAGTAAAATAAAATGCTGCACAACTGATTATTTATAAAAATATTTTTTATAAATATATATATCTTGTACCTGACATGAAGAATGATTCCATTCATCTGAGATAACAGTCTTAATTCCATTGAGTGCGGTTTCAATGCAGGTTTTGCTGAATGCCTCCACCTTGTTGAGAGCTGCTCTAATTAAACTGTAGTCTCTTGTGAAAGCTGACAGCTGCTCCCACAGGTAACTAAAGGCAATCTGCAGAATACATACAACACCTCAATTAAATTAGTTATAAATTAAAGCACACCGTGTTCCTTGGTACCAAAAGAGTAAACACCTGGATGGCCTGGCCAGGTGGATGGAGAAAGACAAAAAAAAGAAACACTGAACTGATCTGTGATTCTGGCAATCATGTAAGATAGTGAAACATGACAGCCCACGTTTAGCAGCATGCCACATGAAGATGATGATATACATGTAGGAAACATGATCATAACACAAATGCATTTGTTATATTTTAATTGTTTACTGCATATGTAGAGGTGGAGGAAGTCACTGCTGCATTCTATTGGCTTGAGAATCAGCTGTACACACATGTCGTGATTGTAACTGAATCACAGAGCATGTTGAGAAAAGTATAGACAGGTATGCTCCATGTGGAGTGGCAAGCATCACTTCAGAGGTCCTGGGTAGTTAGCATCCTTTGGATATTCTCTCCAGGTAGTGCCAGTGTGTTGGGAAATGAGCAGGCAGATAGACTGGCCGGTTTTGCCCCATTTGGTAGTGAACTGATGTATGACAAGCTAGATGTTGCTCTAGGAGCGAGTAAACAATGTGAAAGCACAAATAGATCATTAATGGTCTGAGAAGAATGGCGCTGTGAGGTGTTGCTAGGGGATCTGGTTGATGCTCAACACTCAAGGGAAAGACGAGACGGATATACAATCAGACAGTTACTGGTGCCATCGGATTTGGAACTCTTCATTTGCTGCTGAAGAAGGGGATGGAGTGCTTATGGAAGGGTCCCCAGTGCTATGATGTTGATTCCTATTTCAACTTTCAACATTCTGTATATGTATACACATATTTGTGTAATGTCTGCATGTATGTCTATGCAAGGTTATTATTTTTTTTTTAATGCATGTACTCACCTCTAAGTGTCTATTATGAAATATAACGATGCCTACAAAGAAGGTGCTGATACTAACAGAAAAATAAAAAAGTATGTCTGTGTCTATGCATGTGTATATATTATGCACCATGCAGATAAGCATAGGCAGTGTGGTGATGGTTTGCTGGAATCTTGGATCAGGTCCTTTTGTCCCACCATTGTAAGGTAGCCAAACTATTCAGATATTCATTCTACTGTCTTCTATTTTCCTCGTGCTCCTCCCGTATGTCTGAAAGAAATAATGTAAACTGTAAATCAATTACTGATTTTCAGCTCATATTGTTTTGTTCAGATATTTGACTTATTTGTTACTGCTGTATTTTAGTTTTATACTAATTATTTTTGCTTTCCACGCACTGATAAAACTTTGGTCAAATGCCTGTGTTGACATGTCTTCTTTTTACATTTTGTGTTAACCCTTTCAGTCCCAAGGAAGGCCTCATACTTTACATTACAGGTTCCTACCTACAAGCCAGCAAATGCAAGATGCCCCGATTATAAGTTTCTCTGTCCTACCCCATGAGTATCTGATGCTGAACCCCTGGGACTGTAAGAATTAACTAATGAACAGTTTCAATTCAACAGGAGTCACCTTTATTGTTAATGCCAATAAGACAATGAGACATCCAGTAAACATATTAAAAAAAAAAATATTTAAATACAAGCATACACAAGTTACGCACTAGAGATACAAACTCCAGCTTGTAGAAGCTACTGAGGTAGTCAAGAAATGCATTAATTCCATGATTGGCCAGGTGTTTTCTTTGGTATTCCTCTGTAACATCTGGCAATACAACAGGCTGAGACATGGACAGGGAGACGTCTAAGGCTATAACTGTTGGCATCTTCCTAAACCTGGGAAAAACAAATAATAAATTCAAAAAACAATATTGGGGGGGGGGGGGGGGGTCAAAAACACCATATAAATAACTGAATGTTTGGACTGGTCTTTATCAACACTCACCATAAGGACAAGAATCCTAGACAGCAGTGCCTATCCAGGGCAATCCCATAAATAACCTTACTAGAGCATAAAATATAGGAGTAGAAAGAGACATCATGAAACAAAACATAAGTAATGTAAAGAAAATAGTAAAGTAAGAAAATCTGTAATATTTATTATTTTTTATTGAGCGATGAATAATAAGAATGCAGCCAGACCAGACTGACTGTATATAAGATTTGTTACAGTAGAACATCTTGGAGGGAGGTGAGAGGAAGACCAAGAAAGAGATGGATAAATAGTGTAGAAACCTGCAAAAAGTGGAACAAATCTATTACTCAAGCCCCCTGAGAATCGCAAGACAAATCACTAGGCTACAACCTGGTAACAGTGGAAGAACAGAAGAAAAAGATGAAACGGTAGATCACATCAGCACCAGCCAAACAAAAAATGCTCACTCAAACTGCTGGTGACAATACAATAAGTCAGTAGTTTTTTCAGACCAGTAGCCTAGCTTTTATTGAAAAAAAAAAAAGCAATTTCGAAGTATCCGTTATGTCCTAGTAAACAGGTTATTTCCTCCTCTTTCCCTTTCCTCTCTGACTGTCCTGTGCATGGTGGCATTATGAAATTTATCATACTAAATTAGAATCAAATAAAGTTAGTTGCGCATCCTTAACAGGATGTTGCAGAATCAACATAGGCATATTTTGAGTGCTGTGGATTTTTCTAAGGAAATTGTCCATTCAGTAGTAGTAGTAGTAGTATTTACTTAAGTTACTAGTTTGCCACTTTTACTGAACGTTCAGCTCTCGGTACCACTGTCGAAACCAACACAAGACAAACTCACTGTCCGCAGCTGGGATCGAACCTAGAAATAAATTAAATAAATATAAGTATCATCAAGAGTAAGAAGACATTATATTATATTATTAATATTATATAAATATATTTTTTAAACCGTGCGCACCAGACCACATTTTAGTAGTTAGTTAGTAATTTAACAACAACAAACTGTTGAAGATTAAGATTTTTTGACAGAAGAAAAATTAAGAAATGAGAATTACATACCTGATTATGAGCAAGCAACAAGATAATCCATTATTTTCAATGTGTATAAATATTTTTAAAATGCCACTATGTATTTATTTAGTGGGTCTTTCAGATTGGGAAGTTTGTGATTGTCGCGAAGTTTATAGAGGACTGGAGGCAGCCATTTTGGCATATTATTATTAAAAAACGTACTAGATCATAAAAATGTGAAACAAACATTTCAACTATCCCGTGTTATTGTACTACTTTTGTCGTTTTCCGTACAGCATGGAGGATCATCTATATCTGAACTGATTAAAAGTCTCTTCTTCTGCCTTTCTATCCCCCAATGGAGCACAGGCCCTCAACCAACTCCCGCCAAGTCGTTATATCCTTCGCCATTACATGGAGCTCTCCCCATGTCCTCCCAATCTTTCTAACCTCATTCTTCAGCTCTCTTCTCCATGTGTTTTTTGGCCTTCCTTTATTCCTATGCCCCTGTGGGTTCCAATGCAAAGACATTCTAGTTATGCTGTTCTCCTGTTTTTTTAGTGGTGTGCCCTATCCAACGCCAGCGTCTTTTCCTCACCTCCTTGATCCACTGGAGCCTGTTTAGTTCTCTCCCAAAGTTCTACATTAGTTATTCTATCATACCATTTTATCCCTCTATTTAAAATTTTTTAGTTTAGTATTTATTTTAATTTCTTTTGACCTCCACAAATTCCCTAGTGCTATGAAAGCCCCTCTTGCCTTTTGTATTCTTATTTTAATATCTCTATCAGTTCCTCCATCTTTATCTACATTACTGCCCAAATAGGTGTACGACTCCACGTCTTGGAGTGTGGTGCCATTAAGAGAAACCACATTACTATTTGCCTGATTTATTCTCATTATCTTTGTCTTTCCTTTATGTATATTCAGACCAAGCTGCTGTGATCTCGCATTAAGTATATTTAATTTATCTTGCAAGCTGATTCCGTGAATGGGACAGAAGAATCCAATATCATCAGCGAAGTCCAGACAGATCAAGCTGTTTTTTAGGGGTCCACTGAATTCCATTCTTGGTGTTAGCAGTTACTGTTTTCATAGTCCAGTCTATAGCCAGTAAAAACAAGAGAGGCGACAAAAGATATCCCTGTCGCACACCTGTTTTTATTTCAAAAAATCTGTTAGCTTTCCCTCGTGAAGAACCCGACATTTCATGTCTTAATATGTTTTTTTTACTAAGTTGATAATTTTCTGTGGGATTCCATAGTGCCCCATCAATTTCCAGAGAGATTCCCTATCTATGCTGTCAAATGCTTTTTTTATAGCTTATACGCTCCAATGTAAAAGTGGTGAGTTTAGTTCAATACTTTGCTCTAGTGGTATAATACGTAATGTGGCTATCTGATCAGTACAGGATCTGTTTGACCGAAAACCTGCCTGCTCATCTCTTAGCATTTTAACAATAGCATCTTTTCCCTCTTTCCAAAATAATTCTACTCAATATTTTTCCAGGAATTGACAGCAACATAATTCCTCTATAGTTTTCACACTCCTGTAGATCACCTTTTTTTGGGCAGTTTCACAAGATATCCTTCTCTCCAGTCCGTCCAGTCTGATTAAAAGTACAAGAGATAAAAGGTTGAGGACAGACATGACTACCAACGTCACACGGAATAGACTTTAAGAAAAAGTCCGTACCCACCAAAATCTCTATTTTTTTTTCGGAAAAATCGTTAGATTCGAATTAACTCTCCCCCCATCCCCTTTCCCCACCCGGTTCTTCTCTTTCTTTTCTTGAATTAATTATTTCCATTTATTAAGACTGTTTTAAATAGGGAAGTAGAAAGGGATAGAATACACATCGCATAGTCTCTTCAAATATTCTTTGAACTCAATAAATGACATTGACACTGTTCTAAATCATAAATAAAGAAACATTGGTGATATTAATGCTGTTGCTGTTAAATACGGACTCGACATCACAGCACCCAGGAAACTCCCACAAGCGCTCCATCTTCAGCAGCAAGCGAAGAGTTAAATTTCCAGTGGTACCAGTTACTGTTTGATTGTATACCCGTCTCGCCTTTCTCCTGAGTGTCGAGCGTCGGACAGATCCACTGGTAACTCCTGGTAGGGCCATTCTCCTCAGACCGTTTGATCTATCTGTTCCTCGGCACTGTGACGGCCTCCACCTCCATTCTCAAACTAGACGTTGTGATATCATATGCCAGGCTCTGTTGCACCACACCAAGCGACGTCCATTCGCCTTTGCTATGAATCCCTATGCACTTCGTTCTGGTTATTCCTCCCCTTCAGGACTTAGTCTTATTCCAGAACGTGAATTTGTCGTGCCTATAGATCTGGCTTTTGTGTATGCAGCCTGTTGATTCCTTGCCCCTCTGACAGATAGATACCTTCTGACTTAGATAGAAACACCTCAAATTAGTAGAGTTCTGCCTACATTCATTTTGGGGGCGGGGTGGGTCTAATCCCACGAGGAATGTTGGAGTATAATGGTTAATAGCTTGCCTGCGTATCTTGTGGTCGTGTGTTCGAACCACTTTAACGTTTATAGCAGGGCCTTTTTTTTCTAGTACAAAAAGTGCCGGTACTTACCACAAAGTGTCTAAAAAAGTTGTGATGCTCATCACAAAGTGTCTGTTACAGAAGAGTCGAAACAATGATAGCTCAAAGATGCCGGCATTGTGTACCTTTGCGTAATGTCAGGAAAAAAACCCACATGATTTGTATCTCCAACCCCCCCCCCCCCACCCCCCCAAAAACCCGTCCCCTCATTTCCCACTTTTGTTTTGTCCCTCTTGTTTGTGCCAACATATCGACCCTGACTAAAACAGGTACCAGCAAGTATCCTGGGAAGTAAATTCAGCTCTCCAGTTATAAGAGTTATTAGTCTTATGACCTGTTCAGACAGTCATAGTTGTTCATTTTCATTTTCCTTTTTCAATTTTACGTCCATTCGTTTCCCATTGATTTAATTTTATTTATTAAGAAGAAAATGGACCCTGTGAAAGCAGCATCAAATTAATTGGGACAATCCTCAAGCAAGTTGACACGTTTAAAGTACTCAGGCACCATAATAACATCAGATGGAAGATGTATTAAAGAAATGTAAAACAGATCAAGCAAAAGCAGCAGTTGTTAGTTTTATAGAACAATCGGCATTCGGTGTAATTTCTTCTTCTTCGCGTTAACTGGCTTTAAACTCCAGGCTGAAATGTATGGTTGTTCATCCACCTCTGGATATAACTCTTGTTCCAGAACCAGAGTATTGCGTGCACATCAGTTTTACAGATCTGACTTGTATTCAGATTGTTGGTTTCCTTTCCTCTTAGGCAGATGCACTTTGACTTCGAAGGAAGCACACAATTGGGCGACATTTACGACATGCTCGCTATAGAGGCAGTGGGTCTATTTTTGTTTTCCTCACAATGGGATCCCGGAACCCATAAGGGGGGGGGGGGGGGGGGGGTTCTGCGTCGACTTCTTTTACTTTCCATGACTTTACCTGGGAGCCAAAGTCATTTTTGAAATTAAAAAAAAAACTTAGGCCGGTGTCTAGCTGCTATATCTCGTGTCTAAAAACACGACGCATAAACTTTAAGTCAAAAAAAAAACGCAAATTTGCCCTTCAAGGAAAAGTGCTGAAGCTGGTGATTGTGATATGCATGAAGGATATGAAATGCTGGTAATATATAATGATTATAATAACGGCGACAACGTTGACGATGACGATAATGGTTATATTCATCAAAGTTTAGTTGCGTATCCTTTACAGCAAATTGCAGAACCAACCATAACAGCCCCTGGCCTGCAACTGGGATCGAACCCGGCATCCCGGCATTACGAAGCGTTCGCATCGAC